GGGGGGGGGGCGTTTCCACAGGCATGGGTTCATCCTTACTGTGTATAGATTATACTATGCTGTGGCCTTCGTTCCTCCAAAAACCGCTTCGTTGCTCGGGTTTCGCAAAATCGCCCGTCGCGGTCCACCGCTCGTAGTCGCCCAGGCCGGATTTTCTCAACTTCACGTGCCCGCTCTCGGTTCGGGTCGAATATATAACATCCGAATTGATTGGGGACTGTCGATTTTGACCTGGGGCTCGGGTGTGCTGAAGTACCCGAGGGCATCGAATGGCCCATGGATGAAATATCGCTTCGGGAAACCAGTCCTTCCTGCCGGTCGCGGGTCGTATTGCAGGTGGGCTCGATATCCGGATGCAACACCACTTTATACCTGCCATATGGATGTATTCTTCGGATGCATCGAAGAGCGAAAACCTCTCAGTCGTGGTGACTTACGAAGAATTGGGCTAGATCTAGGAGCGGATTCAAGTCTTGCTCCTGGGATAGAGAGACACACTGGACCTTAGGCAACATTAAGGTGTACTTGACCTTCTGCGCCGATGGTTGGTAATAATCATCGATCGGGGACCGGCCACCTCGGAATCGGTCGGGGTACCAAAAGAGCAGCTCAAATCTCTCGACCTATGGGAGCGTCATTTTGGCCTCCGGAAGGGTATTACTCTGCAAGCCGGAGAGGACCAAAGGCCGGAGAGTGTCCCCTACGAAGGATAGCCAAGGGAGATTCACGTGGACATTGTGAATGTCGACAAACACCAGAGACGGATGGGGCTTCGTCACGACAACGAAATCCACGGTGTCTTTCGAACTCATCGTCCCATGCCTGTGTGGTCCGGAAAAGGTCAGCTCTCGGAGCGCTGAGAGATCGTCTAGGCCCGGTGGCGACACATTCTTGCCGAAGAACCCGCCCTCCCAACCGATCTGTAAGCTCACGGGTGACGAAGGGTATTGGCTTCTCAAATACGTTCCCCTTGCCTCACCGTCGAACGGGAGGGGCAAACACAAAGTCAAATGCTTCAATCCCAGATGCGAAACATAGGGTAAGTTCCAATGAGAAGCGGATAGCCGTTGCAAAGCGGCCAAGCTCTTCCAGCTGCTTGCCGGTCCGATGATTCGCTCTGCAAGTCTGTCGTGATCGAGGTCAGCTCGCGAAACGTATGGGTTCCTGGCCTTTAGGTTGGGCCACTCACTGGAGACTTGTTAGACTGGTGATTTTTGGGAAACGGGAGACTAGCTCGTCCAAATCCTCGGGATCAGGCCTGCCAGATAACTGAAACCCATTGCTTTCGCTCCCTCCAGGTTCGCGCACATCGACCGTGAGGCATCTTATCGAGAACCCGCAACCGAACAGAAATCGACCCTGTGGTTGTTCTCTCCCCGGCCAATCCAAAGAATAACGAAGTCCAGGTCTTTTTGGAGCTGGCAAAAGACAGTGAGACACACGGTCCAAAGGATAAAGGCCTGGAATCCGTAAGAAGAGATCGCGGCTTGTGTCCATGGCGGCAAGGGCGCTTCTGATGTCGAGCTGTGTCAACGGATGAGTTTTGTCTTCTTTAGACCATCTTTACCCCCCGACTAGCTTTACCTGGTTGAGAATGTTCTCCAGTACTTCCTCCGGGAGCAGTCCAAGGTGAGACTCTGAAAACGGCACCATCAATCGGAAGTCCGCGCCCGCGTTTTGAAGACCTCCGTCGCAGCAGACTACTTTACCATATGTCTGATTGGCAGTCGAGTCTGACCAGGGCCCTGGAACCGTCATGTTGATGCGCTCGATCCGGCGACGTTCGAGGGTCGAGATAATGGACTGGCCTGACGTCCCCGCCGACCACGATTCGACCGTCACATTCAATGTCCAGGATGGAAGTAGGGCACGAGCCTGGCCATTCGATCTCTCCCGAAGGTCGCCATTTAAAATGTTTGCTGTCGGATATGGCGCTCCATGTGTGCCAGGCCGACATCGCCGAACTGGGGCGTCTCCACCGTCGGGTGAGGACGTGGACGTGCGGTTGCTTTCGTCGATCGAGGCCGGCGACCAACAAATAGGCCGCCGTACCCTTTCGGACCACGCGTGCTCTCTGTATTTCCATCTCTTCATCACTGAACGGACTGGGGTCGTTGGTCAGGTTCAGCCTCGAAGCGGGAGAGCTGGACCGCGGTCACCAAGCGCCGGTTGGTGACCGCCGACTGTAGGCCACCAAGTGTCCTTTAAAGACGCTTAAGTGTACCACCGGATCGTCGTACAGCTTGCGCGAAGACGAAACCCGATGTTCGTTGCGTGCGTCACCCACGAGGGGTACCTTCCTCAAACGCCCATCGGCAAAACCAAAGTAATACGCGGTGTGATCGAGGGTGGCACTGTTGGTCTGTGTGACGGCTCCCTCCGCGCTTTCGCAGCTGATCATGTGGGAGGGGGTCTCACTCCCGTACTTCCACACACGAAGGTGGCCATCCTCGTGACTTGAGAGGAAAGCGTCTCTGTCTACCTGTTTGGGTTGTAGGTCCGCCAGTGGAACACGACACTCACACGCCGGTAGCCAGTCGCATCACCGGAGAGACGTCGACTTTGTCATGGTAAAAGAACGAGCTCGGTTTGGACCGAGATTCCAGCGCCATCGGCTAATTTTCCGTCGCCAAGGATGGGTGCCCATTAAATTGGGGGCATATCCGTCGAGCGAAAGAGAGAGGTCTATCTCAAGCAGATCCAGGGCTTCTACGGCGCGCCAGGGTCAGACTGTGCCGGAGAACACATCTCCACGATACCGTACTATACTGTAAATTTGAGAAGTGTTGTAGAATATATCCACTTTATCGTCACGACGAAGGTGCTCGAGAAAAAGTGAAGGGTATTGAAAAGCGTGAGAAGGGGGACCTAGGCGTCCCCAAAGTCTGAGAAATTTCACGCAGGACTTCACTTCCCGTCGCTGGAGGAACGACTATGAGCAGTAGATAGTTAAGAACCTTTCTAAATCCATTGCGCTCTCCAAAGGGCGGGAGTTGATTAAGCTGATAGATCGCTAGATGCTTGAACATTGAACGAATTCAGTTTGCTTCGCCTTGAGGGGATACCTAACGTTCCGGACCAACCGTCACTTTTCGCTATGGGCGTTAGGGTGTTACTGTATCAAGCGCGCATGATTGAACATCGTCCGACTGGCCCCAAATAGCTCGTGGGTGACAATATTGCCATGTTGGTTCCGTGAACTATGCGCGAACGCACTGGAAAGGTGACCAAAATGGACAAGCCTTAGTTATAGATTTTCTTTTCTTCTTTCCCATTTTCCCATTTTCCCATTTTCCCATTTTCCC